GGAACTCAGTCTGTAGTTAGGCCTATAGTTTATCCTCTCTCTAGCCTTTGGTATAATTAACTGTACCTATCTACACTTTATAACAGGAGGTACTAGCTGTTGTTGTTGTAGATAATATACTAACATTTAATAACATCCAAGAAGGTCACAGTTAGTTACACAGTGACATACATCACATAAGTCCGTGAAATTTCATAGGCCAACCGTAGGTAAACATAGAAAGAGCAATAATAGTAAAACTCGAGCGTCACGACATTGCGAAGTGTCTGCTCTTGTTCCTCGTATCGTACTCACTCGAGTCAATCCGAGATGGCCCGAGTGAAGTTTCATACAAATGTTTCGTACGGAAAAAAAAATCGCCACCGGGAATAATCCCCTACTCTTTTCCGAAAAGTGTACTGCGTTCTTTAACGTGCACATGGGCCATAATGCACACGGGACCAACGGCACGTCTCATCCGAAAGACTGTGCGCTATCGTAGCTTGTATTTCAGCCCTCTAGCTGAAACACAAGGAGGGGCAGATGGGAATTGAACCGGAGATCTTCACGGTTCAGCGCACACACAGCGTCAACCACCAGATTAGCTGACTGAGCTAAGCTGCTCTCTCAAGCGAGCAAGCAAAACAAACAAGAGAACTAAGAAAAAGCAACCGACAACAGATGCGTCCTGAGAGCTACCGTATTTTGAACAAAGCAGTAGATTGACTCGAGCGAATATTTATTGACAGTTTATTCCAAAGGAGTGGAGCCGCAACAGCAAAATGATATATCACCCAATAATGTGCTGAACTTTATTGAACATACGATTTTAGATCAGCGGCACACATCGGGATGATAGAAACATTACCGGTTGTGTGCTCTCTGAGAAATTGACTGAGCGAGAGTATGAGGATTTATTATCAATTTATGTGTTTCTAAACATTTGGTTTCAGAGAGGGCCATTGCAGTACTCGCATATTACTGATATTACAGGGGCATGATGAAACGCACTAATAGCGATATTACAGGGGCATGATGAAACGCACTAATAGCACTTGGCAATAAGTTGTTAATGACTGAAGTATACTTAGACTTCTCCAAGACTTTCCATCTTCATTCTATTTCTTCTTTTTATATTTATACACTAAATTTGTATAACTTAGTAATGACTACAAAGTGTTTAATTTAAATGTTGAGATAATAATATAACCTAAATTATTAATAAATAGAGGGCACTCAGAGAGATACCTTTGCCCACATTATAATTCTCCTCAATATAAACATTCGAGCGAATAAATTCGCCCGGTGGAAAACAAGCTTTAAGCCTGGTTTCCTGTCGACGTAAGAAGACAGATTTACTTACGACTACGTCGTTTTATCGTAACAAAATGCAATTTTGTTTTATTATCACTACTATACTAAAATTGAATTCGAAAATAAACAGGGATTTGTTCAATTACAATCGTATAATACCAAGCGAATTGTTTAAAAGAAAAACCATTCCTAATTCCAATGTTTGTATGATTTTAAAAAAAATAGTTAATACTGAGCTAAAAAAATAACCGGGAGGAATAATATATTTTAAATTGTGCAAGCAATAATTAAGAAACGAGTGTTATTTCATGCTTTAATAAACGCATAGTAGCATGATATACTCATAGGTCTACACCTTTTTTTAAAAATAAGAACCAGAGCAATTTTACCGAGGCTAAGTGTTGTTAATTTTCGGCCAATTTCAAGCTCAAAATGTTTAATGCCTATATATTTTTCTTTTTATTTTTCACACTTTTTAAAGATAGACAATTACTATTTCACAGCAATATACTGTACTGTATGACAAAGGGTATCATCATTGTCACACCTACTGTGGATTACTGTAGCACTAGCTCAGCAGCACTGTTTGATTACTGTATGATAATGAAGACAATGATCGTATAATAATATAATACTGCAACAAATTAGTTGGTCGTTGCAAAATTTCAATGAGAAGAGTAGTGAAAAATAACAAATTTTATCACAAACCAAGATTCAAGATTCCATTTATTGTCATATAAAAGTGAAGTACATGAAATTTGCTTTCCAGAGCAAGGAATACACAAAATATACACCCAGTTAAAATTACAAGACAACTATAAATATAAAACTATACAGTGCAAAAATATACAATAAATAAATTACAGTCTAATTGTAAGAGTTAAAATATCAAAGACCGAATAAAAGGTATAACTATCTGGTGAATACTTTGTTAAATAGATGACAAGCATAAGGCAAGAATGAGCTATTCAATTACTACTACTACTATTATTATTATTATTATTAGAATGAGCTAACAAGGGGGTCATTTATACAGCAAGAGTGCGGACCGTTTTATATCTATTTTGTCAATTAGCGCAAAAGTTTACCACCACTCCAACTTAAAACCTATTAATGCAGTTTCCCAGAATTAAGATTTGGTGGTATGAAACACAAATGTTCAGGGAATGTTTGAAGCATCATCTTTTTGTGAAACAAAATAAATATTTACAAACGTCAAATAGGCCTATTTGTATTTTAATAATGTAGGCCTTCTTTGCAATAATAAATGTTATTAATGCTACACGTTTTGCCAACATTTTCAATGCATCTCATATAAAGTGGTAGAGGCCTACATTCACGTGAAAACCCTGGGTACCAAGGATGGTGTGGGGATAAGAGGGAATTTGGAGTAGGATTTCTCATTTCACCGAGATATATAAAAGGTGCAATAGAAGTAATCCCATACACTGAGAGAATAATATCACTTAGAATAGAAGCAAAACAACAAAACATGATAATAATATAAGTTTACCTTTCTACACCAAATGCAACTCAAGAGTAAAGAAAATAGATATCCAAGAGCTTGTGAATAAATGCAGCCATAACAAATTGCATGGTGCTGATGGGTAATTTTAATTCAAAAATAATAAAGAACACACAGCATGATGCTTGCAGAAGATATGGGCTTGGAGAGAAATACGAGAGAGGTAATATTCTCCTAGATTGGCTTAATTCTACACAGCCCATCAGCTAGACTGGGCAGCTCTTATTGAGGGCTACACATCGTTTTCCCAATCCCCCTAAATCGTATTGGAAGAGGAGAGGTGCTATATGTATGTGCATGAACATTTCAAAAAGCTAATGAATTTAAGATCATTGTTCCGGATGGTCTTGAAATTGTTTGGACACAGTTAAACCAAAGTAGGCTTCCCCAGTCTACTTCTACATTATTTATTACAGCTTGTGATTATATTTCTTGGAATAGGTTTAATAGCTTTAGACTTTATGAGACATTACACCCCCAAAGGTGTTGATATGGATAATCCGGGGCGTGGACCTCGCGCTCATTTCCAAATACCCAGAACCGTTGGTTACAATCATACCAGGTGTAGGCAACCTCTGATACAGGCACAGAACGAAGGACTTGACGCTACAAATGGAAATTTAAAAAAGTGCATCAATTTTAATATTTAATTAGTACATCCAAAACCATTTTAAGATGCTCAATACTAAACAACTCATATCAATGATAATTATATAAGAGTTTACTTAATTTTCTTTTATTTAGTGTAAATTGATTTCTCTTCCAACATAATATGCAGAAACTCATGATTCGTGCAAAAGAAGTTTCAATAGCACTCTTGTGATTATTTAAACGAGACTTCAGGAGAATGCCAAACATGTCTGATTACTATAACGGCTTAAAATATCGTCTTTCAACCTGAAACACGATCATTAAGAAAATTCACTGCCAATTTGTTAAAAATTCCTTTACATGTATTCTGTTGATAGACCTGGGCACACCTAGATTATATGGAATCCGAATGGTAAAAACATTTTATTGGTATTGACATACTTGCTTTATAATTTTTTCACCAGGCCAGGCTTGACGATGATCATTGACCATTCGCATGGAATTGACAATGATCTGCTGCTCTGAGTGTTGAGAGATTGGCTCCACCTGTGTGGAAGAAAAAACAATGGAATCAATACTAGTAGTTACAGAACAGATGTAATAAAAGGGTGCGTGAAAATGTTTAGTACATTAAACTAATTCACACTGTTGTTTTGAACTTAAAACATGGTTCACTTCACCTGTTATTTAAATGTTTAACAACTGCATTCAATCTTCAAATTATGTTTACATTTTTTATATGTTTTCTTTTTTAAACAAAGTTGTATTCGTGAAGGAGAGAGAACAGGGCATCTTAACTAGAAAATTTAAAAACATGTAAATACAAATTCATTACCACTCTACTGAAGCAAACAAGCTCGTTCAAAAAAACCGGAACCTATTTCCACTAGCCTTTGGGAAATTGAATTCCGACTGCCTCTGTACACAAATCCAATCTTACGCATTCATATATATTTGAAAGCACTAATAAACTAATGCACAGTGTTTCGGTGTGAATTTCAAATTGAATTCAATCACTCTTGCTACAGACCGAGGAAACTTTCAAATTGAATCATGATACAATGTATTTATACAATAGATTTATACAGCCTATAGTTAAACATCTCATTTATGTGTACTCAAAGCACCTTTCAGGTGTGAGAAAGCAACCCAGTCATTATAGCCAATCAATTCGAACCATGACTTGGCTGATCGGATTCGTGTATAGTGCATATCCCGGGTGTATTACTTGGAAATGTATGTAGAAGTATAATTTAATCTTGAGAAAATAATCTATGTCATATGGTTTTCAAATGTGGTTACCCTTTTGGGGACATCCTGGATCTTCAAAAATAAAAACCTTAAAATACTCAACTGTTTTTGTACCACGCTTTGTGAAAATAACATACAAATACCTTCCTATACCGCAAGAAGTCAGTGCAAAACCCCAGAATATTTGCCCCTAGCCTAAAGGCTAAGGACATGATGCCCTATACAGTACCTGTTGTGTGCACAAATGTACTGAAATGAGAGTCATCGCTAAAAATTATAAAAATGGTGATTGATTTGTAATGACTGACAGTCTTTGTAATGACTGACAGTTCGTGACTTCTGTGATGACCCACCACTTATGTCGGTTCGCAGCTATTTCATACACCTTTGGTAGAGGTTGTCCAACTAGAGATGATATTCTGTCGATCCATCTGGACCTAGGACTTGGTAAAGTTTATAAATGCTAAATTATCCCAAATAAGAGTCGACTGGTACTTACACATGGAAGGTTCTGCTGAAAGACAACCTGTCCCCTGACACCCTTGATTTTGTCTTTTGGTATGCCATTTTTTTCCAGGACGTACTCACTCACATGATTGGTGCTGTTGAACAAAAACAAGATGTCATCTGTTTTATGGTTATCCATGCTATCATGTCGGTTGAAAACAATGAAAAATGCAACCTTACAACAATATCATAATTTCTACAAGCCAGGCTTAGCTCTTGCGTAATTACAAGTTTAACAACAGAAATAATTCATCAAATTGGTATTTACGACCTAATATGATCGGATTCACACAGGCAGGATGAGACATCATTAACATGCTTTCATTCCAGTAGCCAGAAAGTAAAGGTAACTATTTCCTCGACTAAAATATTACACAATCTTGTACAAGTTTCTATGAATTCCTCAATATAACCTACTTATTCCCTATAAGCGGTTCTCCCCACTCTCCAACCTTTTCTATATAATATCATATAATCATGAGTATATGGAATTAATGATTGCTAAACCTGTAACATTACAGGAAAATGTGTGTGAACTAAATGAGTTTCAATGTTTGTTCGCTTAATCTCTGGTAAAGGTCAATTTTCAACATAATTAAGTTGATCCTTTGGTCGTTCACAACTGCTACTATTTACTACTACTACTTACTATTTAACTACCAATTCGGTGTAATATTGCAGAGAGCCTTTTCCTGTGCAAGTACTGCAGGTGATCTGTCCATTTCTTGTTTTACAACCGAGACAGCTGGATGAAAAAAATTAACTGTTATAAGTTTGAAACTACATACACAATGTCTTGCATAATTTACATATGTAAAAAATATTGAACTTGGACAATGTCCATGTAATAAATTTAGGTGAGTCGAATGGCCGAGCGGTTAGCAGGGGCACCACAAGCTATAGCCATAATATCAACGCTGGTTCGAACAGCATGCTCGCCTATGGTTCTGGTGGTAGAACAAGTCTTGTCGGATAAGGACTAAAAATCGTAGGCTCAGTATATACAATGGCTCATGTGCACTATAAAGAACCCGGTACATCCTCCGAGACGAGTAGGAGGATGCCCCGGTGTACTGGAACAGACAGCACCTATGGTGGATGACGAGAGTTGCTGGTACCAGGTTACCAGGTAGCACAGACACGAAGGGACCCTTAGGGGAGATGAAATTCATTGATCGAGTTCCTAGTCTACATTTCAAGTGCCCTGAGCATCTTACATTAGATGGATTTGTGCGCTATATAAAACTACACTATTATTATTATTATTCCCAAATGTGGTTGCAAGATCGAAGGACAAATGATCCGAAAAAGATAACAGCCTTCGAATTTTTGTTACACTGTTTCATCGAACATACACTAGAGCACAAAGTTTGGATCAAAGGCTGTATTCTTCAGTTTTCAGAAAAATAACCTACCAGACTTAGAAGACCTTTAATTGTTTTGTCTTTTACATCTAACAATGCATCGGACTGCTGACTCTTTTGCTAAGGAGGCTTCATGGAGATACAGGCTTAAATGTCATCAATAAAGTATCAAATTGTGACTAGCTAAAAATTGCACATTTCAAGTATTTCAAGTATTTCAGATTAAAATTTTAACAATGCTTTTTATTTTTTGGCCGTCAACGCAAACAAGGACTTTTTTGTAAGCAGCTTTGCTCCACGTTAGAATAGATTGCCCACTATATGTAACAAGATCCAGCACCACCAAACTGTATTGTCAAACAACATGACCAAACATCAAGAATTGATCTGAAAAGTCTACATCACTAATAAAATGACCTCTAGGTTTTCACCAAAGTCGGTGTGACGTCTTCAGCTACTGGTGTTTCAACTTAGTGACCAAGCAGAGGATGACATGTTTCCAACCAAATCCACAAATTTAAAGCCTATATCCCTGTTGAGGGGAGCTGAGGGGGGCTGCTATTCATTGATGTAAAATTCTTGCAAGATCTTTCTGGGGACATAATTTATTTCCTCAGTGATCTTCATTTCCTTAAAATGATGATCTGCGTCTGGTATCTTCTTACCTCGCAGAGGTAGAGGAGGATACAGGAACGAGTGCTATTGTGTTCTTTAAGGCTTCTGTCGAGGGATCTGGCCAACACCCCAATAAAGGAAACCGTCAAAGTCCTCCCAATCAATTTGATCAACTGCGCCCAATGCTTATTTTGGGGTACCTTTTAGAGACATCAAAATATGTTGTGGGTGATTTGAAACCGGTTGAAACAATACCATCACTAATTTTGGAAAGGCCGCTGAACATCATTTTCCGTACGCAGGGCAAAAATGTAATATTTCATTACCTGAAGGAGCCTTATCTCAAATGTCTTTGGCTTAACATCCAATTTGATTTGTAGGAATGAGTCATTTAATTATTAAGAAAATACTAGTTAAAAAAAAAAAACTTGCATTTGTACATGTCCAGTTGCATAACAAGTACGACATGCGACTCGGCGAGTATTAGTACCATGATATTCCCAGGCTAGACCAGCGCCATGGCAATGACAACATATATTCTGTATGAAAGAAAACATGTCAGAACTAGAGGTTGTTATAATGTCTTCCCAACATTTATTATTTGAAGGAAGTTAATCAATAAGAGCCACATCAACATAAAAAGGCACATCAGGACCAGTTGGTACAACGGAAGGTTTTCACAAGCCAACTCCAGTCCCGTCTATGATAATTATTTGCTACAATCTGAGACAAGTATTGTCTTAGCTACAATGTATAAAATGAATTCCATATATTTACCATGCCATCGCAAGCTCGGCATATCTTATAGCCTCTGCCATTGCAGTTATTGCAACTCTGTTGGTGAAAATATGAAGAGTATAACATGTTTCGGATTAATCCCATGTTTTAAGCTTGTTATTACACACATTAATACCTAAATTAATGATGCTTCTGAAAAATGTTTGATTAAATTTGGTCAAAGGGAGCAAGAGCCAAAACAGAAGAAAGAAACGAAATGAACACAGGAGCTAAGTTGTCTGTAATGCCAAATATAAAAAGAACTAGGGAAAGACAAGCTAAGTACTTAATGCATCTGCAACTTTGTGCTATACCGGTAAACTGTGTAACCAATTATGAGCCATCAAGATGTAGTGGTAGGGTAGATGATAGCATGGGGTCTGAGAGATTTGGAGACAACCGAAAGAGCTCCCCTATGAAAGACGCTTTTGGTTGAGAACTCTTTTTTTGCAGCTCCACACGCATTCTTTTCAAACCAAAAGACACCATTTTCAGCGGCACTGGCTTGGCATCGCATTATATATTTATCCAAATTGTTTTGTTGTGCGTTCCCCTCGGGCAGGTACAATATTGACATTTGCTACCAAAATGACTTGAATCATGTTGATTTATTCTTTAGGGTCTACACTTTTTAATCAGTAAATCAAGTCTTGAAAATGCTTTGTACAGTATATCTCTTGTACTGTATTTTTCGGTACACTAGTCACTGGAAGCCAAATACTCTAACAAAAAATGAATAAAAATAATAATAATAATAATAATAATAATAATAATAATAATAATAATAATAATGTATTCAAAATATTGTAAAATTATTACCTTTTTTACTGATGTATTAGGAATTTCCAACACTTTCTGGTGAGACATGAACTCCGTTGATGGTGTGCAATGCACATCCCATGGGTGGGGTGGTGCCCCATTGAGTGACCTATCCAAACCGTCATTACAAAGGGTTTCACGGGTTGAGCGTTGCTCAGTGAAGGACTCAAGTGTGTACTGTAATAAGATAAAATCAAACGGTGTCAGCGCAGCTCAACACACTCATCCAGATGGCCCCAAGTTTCGTTGAGCCAATGTTGCCCCAAATTTCGGTCAATTACTTTCATCCAACATTGGCTTTATAATGTTGGTCATTAACTAGGTTGGTTTAATGTTTCTATTGACCTAATATTAGGACAAGGGTCGGTATACAAACATTTCCATGGCAATTCTGTCCAAACATATTACGCGCCAATGGAAAAAATATTTTGGGTGAACGTAAATTTAACAAAGTTGGCCGATTGGCCCCAAAACTTGCCAAAACGTAGTCCTAATGCAGTCTTGCTCTCTGGGCTCTTGCTTATAATAATGTTAAACACACAGAATTGGTGGTTTTGGCCCTAAAAATTGGGCGAACATAATTAGGCCATGATCCTTATGGCACAAAGCGTAAAAAAAAATAGTGTAATTAATATTAAATTACTGTAAGAGTCAATATGAAGATATTAGAAAGGACGTTCTTCTTCCAATGCATCTTCCAATGGGACTTTCTACGCTGATATGTCACAATATAGCTATTCAATGCTGCCATCCTTAGGTACCGTTTTCCATATGCTACTGTGTGGTTAGGTACATATTTTGCATTTTTTAGCACTGTATGATATCAAACTACATCATTTCCTGTTTTAAAAAGGGAGATACCGAAACAAAAGCCATGGGTATTACTACAGGCCAATTTCCTTACTCTCCATAATATCAAAGGTAATGGAGAAGCTGATCAGTGAGAAGACGTAGAAACATCTGGATCTCAACAACCTTATTTTTATACCCGGCCAATTCACCTCTGATGACTTAACACATGTGTCTCACACTTTAGAAACTCAATTAACAACAGAGAAGAAACGTACATTTGCTACCTTTACAACCGTGTTTGGTAGCTTTTCTGGCACCGTTCTGCGCTGATTAAAAGATCCAGGCTACTTAAAAAAAACTTTCATTGAAGGTTGCCCTGAATGGAAAATCAGGAGCACAATTGATTAATGCTGGAGTCCCCTAGAGCTCTACACTGGGTACTCTGTTCATCATTTTTATCGATGACATTTCAGCAAACTTGACCAATCAGTCCATCTTGCATGCAGATGTTTTTCATCAAAACTAAGTGAAGACAGGCCAGCAGCTTCAAACTTAATCAAGATCTTGCAAGGTTGAGGCTTGAACAGTGTCGTAGAATGTTTGGTTTGGTGCAGCAAAGTGCAAAACAACCACCATTTGCAATTACACTAAGAGCAACCACCCCTTATTTCATTTCGTTGGAACAATCAAGGCAGATAGTATAGACAATCTGCAGGTACATTGCTTCAATATTGACAAAATATTGAGGGTAGTATTTGAACCCGAGTTCGTTGCCAATGTAAAATGGGAGCAACTCGGGATCAACTTTTTCGTTTGATGTAAATGGGAAATTTACCCAGGGTCTCCCTGGAATTAACACAGGTTTATTCTGCCCTTGTCAGTGCAAAAGGGGTAATAGTCAGCGGTTTAATTTACAAGTTTATGATATGCTCAAATACGAGGCACAGTGTGGTCGAGAGCAACACCGTCCATCATAGTTTGAATCTGTCCAAAATTTAGCACATATGTGGATTGCCAGAGCAGTACCAGCTCAATTTATATGCACCTATTGAAACACTGATGAGCATTTGGAGCATCTATTCTTACACATCATGTTCTATCAGGATGCTCTTGAACTGTACAATGCTAACTACAGTCAGTGTCCTTCTGGTGTTGATTTTGAACTGGTTATATTTTTTCAACATAATCATACTGAACTCTTAAACAATTTCACAACTTACAGTGTATTAGTACTCATGTTAGGTATTAGTAATTTCTTCCCCCTTCTAGTACAACTACTGTACTTACATGCCATGCACTTAAAGGGACAATGCTGGTAACAGTCATCTCTTTTGCTGGTGTGCTGCTATAGAAAAAGTGTTTGTTCACATGCTGCAATAATGCATCTTTTGCAGCTTGTTTACTTAACATAGTGCCAGTTCTATAAGAAAAATAATAATTTTTAGGGCTATAAGCAATCATGTTATTACTTTTCGTTCTTAATTTCGACTATAAGCCTGACAAAAAATTGAACGAAAAATTGGAAAGCAAAAGAGAGAAAGGGAAAAAATGAAAAGCAGGAGAGAAAGGAAAAAAAACCCCTTTAAGTTAAAAACTTAAAGGATAACAAAACTTGGCGAAAATTTTCTTTCTTACCAAAAAATATCTATTCTTCTGGTTTGGTGACTTCAAATGGTGGGTCATACAGGGGTGATGGTACAAATGAACTTACAAAAAAACTAGAATTACTCCTTTTACGCTACGCAGTAAAAGCATAGGCTCCCCGTGGTGAAATTTTGTCCAGTAAAAATGTTTAAATATTTTGAATTATGAAAATCTATAAGCCTTTTGAATTTGTTTAGGATGAGTATGATGATGGTATTATGGCCATGGTAGAAACTGTCCCCTAGTCTCTTCTAAGGTGTGGGGTGGCGTGGTGAAAGGGGGCGGTGTGGGGTGGGGAGAAAGGGTGAGGTTTGGAGC